CCCCTCACCCCGCTCGAGCTGCACAACACACCCCAAGGAGATATGTAACCGGGCCTTCCATTCAATCGGCGCAGAAGACCGACCAATGCACAGCAGTCCCCTGCCCACCTGTCCGCTTCCCCAACGCGACCCACAATCGTAATCGTGAGGGATGAGTGGGATAATTCTACCCATGCAAAGCTTCATAAACTGGGAGAAAGGAGAGTCTGGGGAGGGCTATCGAGAATATAAAGAAATTAAAATTCTGAACTTTGGGTCCTTAATATTTATTAAATGATAAGTGGTATACATACAATAAATGATTCATACGCTCTTGATAATTGTTCATAATTGTCAAGCTTTTACAATACATACACTTGCTCTTTGTAACAAAGAGGGTCAGAACTGCCATGGGCAATGATGAGATTTAAAAAAAAAATGGTTCCGGATTTGCATAATTACGATTCATACATATCACACACACAAAGGGTATGGTAACCCTGACACCACACTGGAAGATGGTCCACCGCATTAGTACGGACGACTACGATGATCCCTTCCCCCTCGGTCTCTGTTGGCAAAGAAAACAATCGTGATTAAAATACAATACCACTAGAAGCAGCCACGACCGGATGAGTATAATTAAAACGAGAACTCACCCTCCCATTCCTCCTCCGCCACCTCGCATCGGTCCGCCACCTCCTCGGCCGCGGAAACCACCCCTGTCGCCACCCCTTCCTCCTCTGAATCCACCTCGGTCACCACCACGGCCACGTCCACCGCCACCACCACCTGACACAGAAAAATTAAGCAATGAGTCACAAGAGTCACACGTAACACTACTAGTCGCTCTAGATTAGGACCAGATGAAGTCATGCTGATCAGACTGCCAAATCATCTACTGGTACTACCCCTCGCCTCACACTTGCACCGCACTAGTGAAAAACTCACTTGGGCAGGAAGAGTAAGTGAGAAAATAGACCTCAGTCTCGTCATCGTTTCATCACATCAGGCATGAGAACATTGGAGAAAAGGGGAGGGGGCAGTTATACTGATCAGACTGCCAAATCATCTGCTAGCACTCCCCCTCAACTGCCAATAGGGTCTGCACTTGGGAAAAACTCACAAGAACAGCTAGTGGCAGTGAGAGAGAGGCCTCAGTCTCGTCATCGTATCATCATATCAGGCATACTTGAGGTAAAATAAAAGGGGTGGATATTCCAATCAGACTGCCAAATCATCTGCTAGCACTCTCGCTCAACTGCCAGTAGGTCTGAACTTACGAAAAACTCACAAGAACAGAAACTGACAATGATAAAGAGGCCTCAGTCTCGTCATCGTATCATCATTTCGGGAATACATTGCAAAAAAGGCCAAACTGATCAGACTGCCAAATCATCTGCTGGCACACTACCTCTCTAGACACTAGATCTATTATCATGAAAAACTCACAAGAATAGCAAGCGACAGAGGTGTAGAAGCCTCAGTCTCGTCATCGTGTCATCACATCAGCCAACAACAATATGGACTATTATGGTAGGGGAATGGCTTTCTGATCAGACTGCCAAATCATCTGCTAGCACTCACTGCCACCTGACACTTGCATAGCACTAGTAAAAAACTTACCAGAGCATGAAATGAAAGGGGGACATTGAGGCCTCAGTCTCGTCATCGTTTCATCATGTCAGGTGCCATATCTGTGTACGTAAGGATTACCCTGACAGAGCTGTCAACTGATCAGAATGCCAAATCATCTGCTGGTATTTATTCTCGCCAAACTCTTGCACAACACAAGCATGAAAAACTCACTCTTGTAGGCAGAGAAAGGGAGAATAAAACCTCAGTCTCGTCATCGTATCATCACATCAGTTGTCATGTCAATGGGTAGCCCTTGGCTAAAATTTTACTTGAGGGGAGGGGGGGGGGGATAGAAAATTGTTGACTTACGTTCACCACCGCCGGCTCCCTCTGGCCTGTCCTCGCCACACCGATTGCACTGTTGTCTCCAGGCGAAGTTGGTGTTGCTACAGCTGGGGTTGGTGCATCTCCAGTCGCCCTCGCGGCCGAATCCGCCGCCGCCGCCACCACCGCCGCCGCCACCGCGGTCTCCGCCGTCGCGTCCGCCGAAGCCACCCCTGTCTCCACCACGATCTCCGTAGCCGCCGCGGTCTCCACCTCTGTCACCACCGCGGTCGAAGCCGCCGCCGCCGCCACCGCCTCGGCCGAAACCTCGGCCGCCGCCACCACCACGGCCTCCTCCCCTCATACCGTAGTTGTCTCTCTTTGTGGCCAGCTGCACTTTAATGCTGGAGCCTTTAAAGTCTTTGCCGTCAAACCACTGAATAGCAGAGCGGGCCGCCTCGGCGTCGTCGTAGGTCACTGTGCACTCTCCTTTGGATTTGCCAGTGTTCTTGTCATTGTACATCCAAATCTTAGGTCGCATAGTCTTCTTGTCAATCTGCAAACAAACAGTTGAGCATTAGGGTACGCTTATAAAATGCTAAAAAAGTGGTGAGAAACCAAACAAATTACCTTAATTACACCAATGGCACCAAAGTGTGAGCGAACGTCATCCTCTGACAAAGATGGCGACATGCCAGAAATGAAAATGGTATCTTCTTGGACAATGAAGTCATCCCGTCCTGATCCTCTATCCCCACCGCCGCCGCCGCCGCCTCGGGATCCTCCATCGTAGCCGCCTGTTACAAAAAGAATCAATTAAAAGCCATCCTCTAAAAGTGTTCCACAAATTCTTAATAAATTAGGGTGGACTTTTAAGTTAGGGCTGCTACACAACACTACAATCTCCATTCCCCCCAAAATTTGATGAGATCGATGCAGTCTACAACCTATCACATGTGAGATGTAGCTCTGAATCAGACAACAATGGAACGTCCACAATATGAGTAGCAACCTTGCAAATACCCTCCATCTCATACACCTTAGTTCTTTGATATAGATGTAGATATATCAAAGATGGATTGTGCACTTGAGAAAGAATTAAAAGGGCACCATTCAACACAATATTTGGAACTGGTTTGAAACATTTCTGGAGCAAATTATGCTACCAGACCAATACCACTGCAGAATATTGTTGTATTATAAAGACATTTGGATGAAGCATTTGTGCAGATCACTCAGAACAGAACTAAATTTTGTACCTTATGACCATGTTATATGATTTCTATGTCTGGCAAGATGATGAATCAGCCATGCACTTCATTCACACCTTAAAGTTGCACTTGTTCCAGCACCCAAAAAAGAATAGCACCAGATTTAAACAGTGATAGTGGTGCACACTAAAATATAAACTCAGAAAATGAGGTCAACGAATCTGTGCAAATTTCAAACACCATAATCCTGTGATGGAACCCCTACACCACTTAAGCTTAGGAGGGTTGATGTACACTGTGGATTACAGAAGTTGAAACAGTGAGGTACCTCCTCATTCCATGAGGCTTTCACACTTCGGACATGCTACCTCTAAGTATTTTATTATCAGTGCTTTGATGCAATTCAAACACTGATGCTACCTCATTCAAATTCACCTGTGCTATTGTATATATTGTAAGTGATAACACTTCAACAGCTTCTCTCCAGAGAAGATCATACCAAGCACATTCAGCATTAAATTCTAACGTGTTGCTTCCAAGTGTCATACACAAATTAAGACCAATACCAACTGTACCAAATCTTAGATAATAATTCAAACTGATCAATAATGAATAAGGTTGTTGCACCATAAGTTCTTTTAACTAATAAAATTTGGAAAACCATCTTTTTAAACAAAACTTAAAGATTAATTGAAATAGAGGTAAACAAAAAATAATAGTTTATCAATTGCTAACCCCCACCCCCACAAAAAATTCAAAAAATCTTAGTATATTAGAGACTTTAAGAAGCACAGAATCAAAGATGGTTATCACTTGCTTCACCCATACCCACACTCACTCACACACACACACCCCCCCTCAAAATTATATTTGGAAATAATCTTTACCGAACTGTATATATAAATATACCTGTAGTGATATATGTATATATAATAGTATAGAGGCAAAATTTAACGGACCACAGAGTTCCCCCCCCTATCTAAAGTAAGCTTAATAAAAAAAAATAGAAGAGAAAAAGCAGAAGGCAGTCACCAGCTGCAGTTACCTTTATTAAAACCACCTCTGCCGCCACTGCTAAAACAGATGCAACACAATATGAGTGGGGCTGCGCAAGGCAATCTGAAGAGTTGGGCGACGTCTCACAAATCCACTTGCGTTGAAGATGTCAGCAGTCAAGTTTGTTCTGTCCGTCGTGTCAGTCAAATATGTCACCCTACTGGTGCTTCAGTTAAAACATATCTTCTTCCAGTGAAAAAAAAATTAAGGTAATTACATGCCACACCTCACAAAGTGGCATAGAACCCTCTCCGCGTAGAGAAGGTATTAAACCAGGAGCCTCACTGGCACAGATTTGATGTACCATTAATACACTGCACATGACACCACATCAGGACCATTGCCATAAAATATTAGCACCAACCCTTTGTGCTGTCATTGTGCAATATAAAACCATGTCTTACCAATCAAAAAACTTTACACACAGATTTGATGATGCGGTATCAGAACCACTCGACAATTATACACACCAGAGGCAAATGCCATATGTAACTGTATACCAAACTAATTTCGTTCCACACTGTATTATAGTCCATACCCATACCACCAGTCTTGTGTCTTATGAATGACCTGTTAAGAAACTTCTTGAAAACAGAGTTAATTATTAAAAGGCATCAATTACCAAAAACAAAATCAATTCTGTGTGCCACAGTTTCACATACATGCTCCATGAGACTTAAGAGTCAAGCCCCTGTAAAGCTGACTTACAATAAGTCAGACTACAGATAAAAATCATGAAAATACAAGACTACTATAACTGCAAGTAGAATAGTTCTAGCCAATATAAAAAATTATGCTAATAGAAGATTGACTCTTGAAGGAGAAAGCCTCAGCACATTTGCAAAATTATGGGAAAAAACTTGGGTAATGACTGGCAAGCTTGTGGGTATCATTAAAATAAGACTATATGGCAGAGAAGTTGCACAGAAGAGAATCCTTTGAACATAAGGAAGTGTGTTGGATACGTCTTTTGCCTCACAGTCAAAGGTATAATAATTAAATTGGTAGAAAGTTCAAAACACAAAACTTAGGAAACAATTATATAAAAATTCTTTAACAAAAAAAGAACACATGAGTTCCACACAATCTGCAGTCATTACTGAAGTACCACACAACTCTTGGACACCACTGATAACCATCATCTATAGACATGATGGCAAGTTTGTGTTGGTCCACAAACTAGGTCTCATAATACAACGATTTAATACCATTTTGAACTGAATCACACGGATAGCAAAGACACTTCCACAGACTTTTCCCGTCAAACCCAAGAAAACAAGCTGCATTTTGTGGCAACTCAATATTTACAAATGCCACAAAAAAGCAGAGCAATTCTTGGGTGGATGACACGCATCGTAAAAAAATTTCACCACTTAGCATGCAACCGTATGTCTTCTGTTCCAGTGAAGTGGTACACTAGTGTAGAGCTAATGTCTCTAATAGCATATAGCACTGATCACACAGCACCCACAGCAGATTGGAGACCCATTATGATTCAGCATTTCTTTCAGTGACTTCATGCAAGGACTCTAACCAGCACAAGCACAAGATGAAGTTTCTTCCGTTCCTAACTATCAACCAACTCCTTCACAGAGTACAGTACACAAGTGGTGAAGACACTTCACTTCCAGAGCAGGCAGGTTAAATTTTCATTTTGGTACAAAACTATCATGAAGTAGGCCTGTGCCTTTGAACACCCAACAGTAATGACTTCAGCTGATACGTTTCCACTTCACTACATCAACTCATGAGCCAGAGGGGCTACAAATTTTAAGTTCTCTAAGGAAGACTCAAGGAATGAAATGACAAATATACTCACTTAAAGCCACCGCCGCCTCCTCTAGGCCCACCACCACCATAACCACGGTCATCTCTGCTTCGGTCATCACGGCCTCGATCCTCTCTGCCACCTCTGTCTTCACGACCTCTGTCTCTTCCTCCATCTGCACAACGGTGACAGAGCATTAAGAGTTGCCAAAATCTCATGATCACACAAACTTGGTTCAGAGCTGGACTCACCATATCTCCCAGCACTCCTATCGCGCTCCCTGTCACCTCCGTAGCCACCTGACGATGCTCCTCCGTAGCCACTAGATGGTGGAGGGCCACCAGAGGGAGGAGGGCCACCCATATATCCACCAGGAGCACCTGACTGTGGTGGTTGGCCATAACTGCCGCCTGACTGGAATTGACCTCCACTTACTGGAGCATTTCCAGAATACCCGCTGGACGGAGGTGGTCCAGAGAAACCACCTGCTTGGTAACCTCCAGCTAAAGAAACAGGAGATTTACGAGGGTGTAAGAGTCATACAGAACAAACGCCAATAGCAAAATGGAAAAAAAAAAAAAAAACTTTCAGTGTCGTAAGAATCATAATAAAAGTGTACAAACCTGGGGGCTGACTAGGAGGAGGTTGTTGCCAACCAGATGCAGCTCCATCATATCCTGAAGGGGCTGCAGGGTAAGAGGGCGGAGCAACCGCTGCACCTCCTACAGCACCCGCCGCTGGGGGAGCTCCACCAGGGGCTGGAGCAGCTTGAGTATAACCCTGGTACCCTCCATACGCACCGGCACCGCCGGCATAGTTCCCGTACACTGAAACAAGAAACTGCAGGTTAGAAAACTTGGGCTAGAATAAAATTAGGATGATGTTGAGAAGTGCAGAGCCGGAACAAGCGAGAGGGTTCAGTAACCGGGATGCTGGTTCAAAGACTACTCATTGCGAACGAGTAAACACCGTAAGCTACCGCTTCGCGTCATGTTTCAAAGCAGTCGATGGTTGCCCAGAAGATGCGATAATAACCAGGGAGGCCATCAAAAAAGTACGCCGCATTACAACGAATGCAGCACGATCTTTAGAACTAAGCAGGATCACGAGCAAACAGAACATAAATCGTAAACACGATAAGGCAAAGAAACGGCGTGGGTTCCGCTTCGATCGGGCATAGACGCCGGATTTGGACAGTCAGAAATCAAGTGAACGATAGTGAAAAACCAAGAAAAAATTATATGAACACAAGCAAGACAGGCTTAGGTACGAATAAGACTTGAATGTCGGGATAAAAACACACGCAATTTCTCCCAAATCACAAATATTTGGACTTACTTTCGCTCTCACAAACAACGAAATGATGGCGTCGAGCGGGAACGGAAGTTCGGGGCTGCAGAGCTCAACGATGACGATGAGTGGAGAGGAAATCACATTACTGTGGGATTTTGTTCTTTTTCGGTCGTCTGGCTACATGCACCTGATTCAACCACCAACTTCAATCTTCCATTCCAAAGCGTAAGAAACGAAAGAAGTTACTTACAATATCCTCTTCAAAAATGTATATTCCAATAATTTAGTATTTTCTAATTCATTCATATTTTTTGTCTACTACTAAAAGAAAAACAAAAAGAGGACACCATCAACAACAAGAACAATAACAACAACAACACAACAAAATACAGACGATTGTTCCGGGTTGATCTGTCAAGAACACAACACAGTTTTCACCATGACTCCACGTCAGCAGGGGGATGTTGATGAATTATTTGATGTCAAAAATTCATTTTTCATCGGAAACTACACTCAATGCATCAAAGAAGCCGAAAATAACGATAAGGTGCCTTGTTGATAATTTCTGTTGACTTTAATTTAGCACCTTCAGAGGTTATGTGCCTGGTCTTAAATCCTACGATTAAATTTAATCTGTTGTGTCCTTTTAACAGGTCAGTACAGAAGAACTTCGATTTGAAAGATTAGGGTTCATGTACCGAGCTTACATTGCACAGAAAAAGTTCAGAGTTGTCCTCGATGAAGTACACAGTGGTTCACCTCCACCTCTACTCCCAATTCGCCTTCTTGCCGAATACTTTGGGTCTCCTCAAAGAAGGTGAGTTTTCGTTGACAATGTTATTATCCAATTGTGTAAGAATAATTTTTTAAATGACTGAGTATTCTTTTACTTTCCTACAGGATTGAATTAGTTCAGCAGTTAGAGCAAATGCTGTCAAGCGGAGTGACAGGCTACAAACATTTGCTGATTCTCACAGCTGCCACTATTTACTGTCAAGAGGGTAATTATGAAGCAGCTCTTCGAGTTCTCCATCAAGGGGATCATTTAGAATAGTGAGTCATTCTGTCCTGCTGATTTATGTAATTTTTTGGTCTTATTATTGAAACTTAATTTATTATTTTTGTTCCCAGTAATGCTTTAAATCTCCACATCTATTTGCGAATGGATCGTAAGGACCTTGCTAGAAAAGAGCTCAAAATCATGCAAGAACGCGATGATGATGCCACTTTAACTCAGTTGTCCCAAGCCTGGCTGAATATTGCATTAGTATGTTATCAATTGTGCTAAGAATAATTTTGTTATACTGAGATTCACAAATGGGATGCATCTTTATTAACACTGGCCCGGTCGTATTCCAGGGAGGAGAAAAGATGCTCCAGGATGCTTACTATATCTTTCAGGAGATGGTAGACAAGTATGGATCTACATCTTTGCTGCTGAATGGACAAGCAGCATGTTTCATGGGACAGGGTAAATATCAAGAAGCCCAGTCTGTTCTCCAAGAAGCCTTAGATAAGGATAGCAATGCTCCTGACACACTTATAAACATGACTGCCCTGTCCCACTATCTTGGAAAGGCTCCAGAAGTAAGTACAACATGGCACATAATGGAGATTTATTTTAACTGATCACCAAAAAATAAAATTTTAATGATTATGCTTTATTGTAGGTTGCCAACCGCTACCTTAGTCAGCTGCAAGATTCTCATGCTGACAATGATTTTGTAAAAGAATATAATCAGAAAACATCAGAATTTCAGAGACTATGCAAGCAGTACAGTGTTACAAGTTCATAAATTGTTATTGTTTGGTAAAATAAGGAAATCAGTATACTTGTTTATATATCTAAAGTTTCTATAAGTATACAAAAAATTTATTGCATTAAAAGATCACAGAAAAATGCCCATGATTGCTTCGTGTCAACAATTCTATCACACATCTAAAATCATTAGTGTATCTAAAGTTCATAGGCTAATTCTAATCATTAACAACTTTGGTACTGATACCAACATTTCATCATACCTTGAGTTCATGAGAGGTACAAATATACTTAAAACATAAACATTTTACAAAGCATATATAGCATAAAAATGAAAGCCAAAAAAAAGGCTACGTTTCTTAGTATTACCTGCCCGACCCCCTTCACACTTCTTACAAGAGTGTTGTTTAACTCAAACACAGTACGGCTTTCTTCAAGGATCAATTTCTTCTTGTCATCATCAAGCTCTGCAGCAACACTATTGAGAGCTGCTACCAAATCCTTCTTCATCTGGTAGATGCTGCGTCCCCCAAAATCTGTTACAGCATCACCACCTAAACAGATTTAAAGGTACATAAGTAAAGTACTAGAGGATTAAAATAGAACATCAATTAACTATTGCTGACCTGGTCTTGTCTTTCTGCTTACACCTAACATGGGAAAGCGATTAAGTAATTGACGTTTTTTTCTCAGGATCTGTCCACCTGACAAAAGCCCCATGTATAAATGATAGACATAAGCTATCAGAAGATCAGGATCATTTTCTTCCACTTCCATCATGTGCTGTAGGTAATTAGCCACACTTTCTCGTGGGGTGTATGTGGCTGTCCAATCCTCTCCTAAATAATACCGTAGATCTGCTTCGAATGCTTCTGTTCTCTCCATCCCTTCAATTCTAAGTTGCCCCAATGGCTGGTTCCTATATCTTTGCATTGCTTCCTCCAAGTACCTAAATATTTCATAAAATACAAGCAAGCCATCTGCCCATACTATGTTGTCTGAGAGTGCTGCAACAAGGAGAATAGTGTCTTACATAATAATATCTAAATATAAAAAATAACATATGAAGTACAGTATTAAACAAGTAGACTCCAAGTGAGAAATGGTTGTATCGAAACAATATGAAACCAATATTGAAATCTACACGTTTCTAATGACTAATATAATATTTGTTTCTGATTTCTCAGTGGGCAGTGTGCTTACTTGGTGCTTACCAAGTGCAAGTTTCCCGTTGACAAGAGCATCACTAACAGCATGAATGTCACGAGTCGCTTTCCGCATCTCACGATTAAACGGTGCATCTGCAGATCCTTTTGGTGACCACACTGTATTAAAAGAAGAATTATTAATGCAATAAGTTAGGACAATTTAGCGAAGTACAAAACTATTTCATCATATTGTAAGAGTTATTTTTAACAAGCCCCGTGAAACGATGAATGGAAATAACAAGTTGTTTAGAGGTAAAACAGTTACTTGTCATGCATTACTTAACTTACTCTTATGTATTGTTTAAGACTACTGAAAAACGCTAGAGTCCAGTACTATCTCGGTACTGAGTCAGATAGTGGCCCAATTAGATAAGGCGTGAGACCTTTACCTCGGCTTCTTATCGCACTTACCCATTATTATGAAGTTAAGAGAGAGGGTGATAGAGAGAGAAGTTGTAGTTGACTGAAGACTGTTAAAAACGTTTGCAAATCACTGTCAGTCAAGCCTACCCCAAGCAAGTTTAGACACGTTCAGATGTTGATTGTTTTGGTTCAAAAGCTTTCTGCTGCTACGTGCACCAGAATTTTTCATACTTTGGAGTCAGAAATGCACAACTCGCACAACTACAGGCTGACTCCATGACCGGCTTCACTCTCCATTAGCTTGATCATTTAATCTTGACTAAAGAGGAACTGATTAAGCATCACATTCGTATTCATTTTGTAGCGAAATACGACAAGTTTTAGTTTTTTTAACAGTTGGGATTCGAGCCGACTGGTTGGTAATGTTTTATGTCGAACCGAGCGGGAACTTTAGAACAGACCAGCGCAACAGTCGCCCCAGACCTTGCAGAGCAGTTCTTTATCTCTGTTCTTAGGAAGGACTAAAAGCTACTAATATATTTCTCACTAATTCAACAATGACAAGTTGCTTCTCCGATACCGAAACATTTTTATTAATTTTTTTGTGGCTGGAGGTATGAGTGTCCCCATTCTCACCAGATAACAGAATACTTGCATTGCGTGAGGAATTGAAAGTACGTACTAGGGAAGTCGCGCGTCGCGCTAAGCTATACTTATGAAGTTGGGCTCCACCTCATTCAAGTTAGAACGGGTCATTGGGAAAGCGATGGCTAGGTGGTCAAACAGCGTAGTCAAACGAGGTCCAACCAAGGCTCCATTCTCCTCATTATCGGGTCCTGCTCCCTTTTCGGGTCATTGGCACAACTCGCCCTAAGTTGTAATGACGACGTCCTGCTTTCTAGAAATGACTCTGCTAAGGTCTTGCTGACTCTGTCATGTGCCAACCACCCTTGCGAGATGGATCAGCGTGGTGCTATGTGCCGTGCGTGCGGAGGGCACTCCGTCCAGACACGCGGGGTAGCGGCATGGTACGCGGATCGTGAGTGCCCCCCTCTCCCCTTCACTTTTACCTCCTCTCCCTTTCTCTGCCCATCCCTTCTCTTCTCTCCGGCCGTGCAGCGATCAATACGGATGCTGCAGTGGCTCCACCCCCACCCCACCCCGTCGAGCCCCGTGTACAGTCGGTCCGCGCTACCATCCCCGCGAGCAGCGGACAGAAAGTAGTCCACCCTCCGCGAAGGCGCGCGGACGTCCGGCGGGAGGTTCGGATCTGTCCGCGACCGGTCGGCGTCCCGAGGACATTAAGGTCCTCTCAAGAGAAGCTTCGCAAGCTACTGATCGTTTAATGGTCCCTACTGCTCCCCGCCGAAGAGACGGCGCCAGATACGAGGACTCGGACACTACCCCACTCTACCACCGGAGTGAGTCCACGGGTGCGTCCTCATATGGCGAGCGCCCACCCAGCACGGACTACTTTGCGATCGCGGCTGGGGGCGCGGGGGTGGCGGGGCGCGTGAGCTGCGCGAGTACTCGGGCCGGACTGTAGCGCTGCGGGCCGCAGGGGCGGGGCGAGGTGGGGCGCTGCGGAGTCGAGGAGGGCTGCCGCTAGGCTGCCCTGCCCACAGCAAGGCGAGCAAGGCGAGCTCGGAGTCGCGTCGCGTTGCGTCGCCTGGGCGTCGCGTTGCGTCGCGGAGCGTCGCGCGGCTCGGCGCGGTGGAGAAGGCTAGGCCCCCCCAGCCTAGGACCCAGGCTCGGCTCCGGCTCGACTCCGCTCGACTCGGCGGCGCTAGGCTCGGCTGCGCGAGTGGGGTCGCCTGTTCTCTCGCACGGCCTCGCGTCAGAGGGTGTCGAAGGGGTCGCAGGAGAGCGGCCCAGCAGCGGGCCAGGAGCGCGGAGCTGTGGGCCCCGTACTCGTGGGAATGCTCCCCCACAACTTCCCGAGCTGACCGGCCTCCCGCAGAGGAAGATGACCCCACGATACGTTCCGCCCCACCATGTCCGGCCGTCATGACAAGTGCATCTTGCTCACCCTCATCGCCGTGCTCCACTGCGTCGCGATACGTGAGTATTCCAGCCCACCACGTCCCTGCGCGTCCTGCGCGTAGCCACGTACCACGTACCCCGCCGTGTGTGACCCCGCTAGCGGGGTGGTGGGGTCCTCGCCACGGGGGGGCGGGGGGGCTTGCTGGGGGCATCCTCATTGCCCCGCGGGGGGCACTAAAGGTGCCCACCCCGGCATGGCCGTGTGCACGTCCTGCCCCGGGCTGTCGTCCGGGGCCCCGAGCCCTATTCCACGTACGGCACCCCACTTAGGTTGCCCCGCGGCGATCTCCCCGCGGCACAACGGAGGGGGCAGCACTTGAGTTGGGGCGACCTAACCTCTCTCTGGGTCACATGGCACCCATCCTTTATCTACTGACCGCCCCCCTCCCCTCCCGCACGCTGGCGCCCAACCCCTTTCCCCGCCAACCGGCTCGTCCGTCCCGCCTCCGCGCTGTGCACACAGACAGAGAGGCAGGCCAACCGCCCCCGGGTCTGGCTGGCTAGTCCTGAGTCCTGGCCCCAGGTGGCACAGAGGGGCAACCCTTCATCTTCCCCTTCTACCTCTCGGGATCTCAAATTTTAGCCTTTGATAAGTACATGGGTGTCTGTCTGGCCGCGCTTGGATGGTGAGAGTGAGACAGCAGGAGCAGCACATGTGGCTGTCTCACTCCTACTCACCAGCAGTCACTTGACGACTGACGGCTGTCACAAGCGCACACTAAAGTCTTATGAACATTTTTATGCAGAGCTCACTGAGTTCCGTAAACATTGCTCCGCTTACGCATTTTTAAGTTTCCAGTATGAAGAAATTTGTCCATACTGGCGAATTGAAAAATCGTAAGCGGATAATGTTTGTTTACGGAACTCTAAGCTATGATTTAAAATGTTCATAAGATTTTAGTGTGCAGTCAGTTGCTTCAGCCAAAAGCGCTCCTACACCCATCTACTTTAACTCAGACTCACAGAACTGTGCTACACAAGGGGCAACGGCCACTTCGTGAACAACTCCTTCGTGTGGAGGCCTGACTCGCGTTCTGATTGACTGTTTGCAGCGTCCGTGGAGTGCATCCAGCAGAAGGAGCACCGCACGGCGGCCGCGGCGGAGCGGCCCAACGACCTGCGCTGCTACGTGTGCGAGAGCATGGACCCGCTGTACGGGCACAGCTGCGTGCACGCCCCGGCCACGCAGAAGCAGTTCGAGAAGCGCTGCCGCGACGACGCGAGGATCTGCATGGTGAGTATGCCGGCGAGGGCAGCTAGGCCACCGCATGGCCTCCCCGGCCAGCGCCGGCCCCCGGCCTGTGCGCCCGCGGAGCGCGCCTAGGCAGGCCCGCCGGGCAGGGGTGCCGCCGGGTTGCCTACCCTCCGTCTGCAGGCGTTCGCCGCCGCCGCCCACCTGCTCCCCTCCCGAATGCCACCCTGGTGACACGGCGCTGTGCTTTCTTTTTTCCCCCTCAGACCAAGAGGTTCTCGTACACGACGTCGACGGAGAACACGACGTCGGAGCCGCGCCTCTTCTCCATGGACCGCAACTGCACGTCCAAGTGCGAGCCGGGCTGTATCATCATCGGCGAGCGGACCAAGCTGTACGCGTGCACCGAGTGCTGCGAGAGCAACCTGTGCAACACGGGCAACGGGGCGGGCCCGCGCCGCCCCTCCTGGGGCGCCCTGCTGCCCTACGTCTACGTGCCGCTGCTCGCGCCCTGGCTCCTGCACTGACCGACGTCCCTCGGGAGGCGCCATCCCGAGGGGCATGGCCTCGGTCGCGGCCCTGGGCACGGCCCCGGGCACGGCCTCGGGCACGGCCCCGGGCACGACCTCGGGCACGACCTCGGGCACGACCTCGGGCACGGCCCCGGGCACGGCCCCGGGTACGGCCCTGCCCCTGGACTTGGGCTCCGGCCCTGCTGCAGAACACGCGCCTGGGCCGGGCGAGGTCGCGGGACTACAACAGGCCCCGCGGCCCCCAGCAGCCCGCTGCTGCGGGCGAGTGGCGACAATCCGTTCGCATCTCAAGGACTCATTCATTCCCACTGACTTAGTTATGGCATTATTAAATTATTTTTCATTCACAAACTCGTGACATAATCCATACTTCTGTTCACTTTTTGTCTGTGTACTTGAGACCAAGTAGTAAAGCAACTAGTGCTGCCCAAAGATTTTGTCTTACATTTTGTACGGAGCGGGCCCAGACGACTTCAGAATCATTGCAGTCAATTTGAGGGGTGCTTTCTCGACCGGTGTCTGCGGTCACGATCTAATCGCCCTCCTTCCCGAAGATGTTTGCGTTGCGAAGACATTACCGATTGCAATATTTTCTCTTTCTCTCTCTTTCTCTCATTTTTGTTACCGTAGGTAGTGTCTAAAACAATACAAAGGGGCACACCCCACCCCAAACCCAGCAGTGTTTTACAAGAGAAGCAGGGAATTCCAACTACTGATCAATTTCTGAATCAATCCCCTTGTTGCCGCTTGTCGGCTTGTCGCTCTGTGGACAGCGTGCGAATGGGATGGGGAAGCCCCACTCGGGACCAAGGCTAGACAAGTCATAGGCGGCTCGCTCTTTCGCGCTCCGCGTCCGAGTGGCCGCTCAATTTTAGAGCTTAAGTCGATCCAGCAACAGATTTGGAGTGGATTATAATATTTGTTGGTAACTCGCGGTTTGTTCAGACAATTAATTCAAGGTGTATTTTGTATTTTTATCGTTATTCTACCGTTGTTCGCTTTGTTCCCCCTCACCGGAAGCTCCTTGAAGCGCCCATTAAATGCGTCACACCTCATATGGAACATTTCAAGCTCATGTCTACGCGCATTTAATGCACTAGCACTTCAGGGAAGTCCCCCTCTCGTCTCGTCTCTACAATAGTGCTGGAAGTGGACAAAGCTGAATGTCAGCTGCTGCGAGGACGATTGATTTATAACACTTTATTATTCCATATTTGTGAGACTTGCACACTGAAATCTCATATTAAATGTATGAGGGCGTTGTGTGCATCTGGAGTATGAGGGATATTTGATCTTGTACTTTTTCTTTTGTAAATATAACACAAGTGTACACAACTTCCTTTTTAAAATATTGTACATTTTTAAAAACATTGACTTTAAATACTAGTAATATGCTGGTGGTGTTTTTCACTGACTAAAGCAAAAATCAACCAAATAATGGTGTTGAGCATTTAATAAAAAATCAGATTGTTAGAGCTGGAAGGCTACAGAAATACTTCCGTACTTTCTAATGTATAATTTGCAAATATGAAATCTGCTCAAAATTTTGAAGAGAAAAACGAGGTACTACTGTTACTATAGCATCCTAAATGCGTTCTGCCTGCAGCTCCTTCTGATTTGCAAAATGGTACGAAACATTTTGCGATGTTGAGGCGCAGCCAGTTTACCGTTTACTATGCTTTCTTTTCTTATTTTCTTTTTTGAAAGTGAAAGGTTCCAGAACAATAAGTCATGCAGCAAGATCTCTTGCAGTTTTGGTTTCTTTCATCAAGCTCTTTCTCATTAAAGAGGAGCTGTGAACACAAGCCCTGCTCCAATCACTCTTTCAAACCTTTTCTTCTTCATCCAGTGACGGATTGAAATAATGATAATATGCAGATTTTCATATCAACAAAAATAGATATCTTTGTGTTTTTGTTATTTTACAAAATTGAAGTAATTTTATTGAGTCTCTCTTCCCTAATAAACTATTACATTCAGTAAACATAAAGAAAAAATTAAATAAGCCAATGGCTAATACTGACCATTTAAAATCAATCGAATTCACGCGACTACTTTGGCCATTCCCTGTGAATTTGATAACACAATGGGCAGCTGGTCCCTCCTAGCTTGTGTCCACATCTCATTTCAAAATATGAATACCAGAGAATACCAAAAAGAAATAAATAAGTGAGAAGGACTGCAATAGGTCTGGGAAGACTGATAAATTAAATTTTAAAAATGTAAACAAACCATAAATATTGAGCGTGCCTTTAAAGTAACGTTAAAAATTTAATGCATCTTAAAGGCCAGTTTCTGATTGGAGAGATTAGCCAAATAACTTCCTCTAAGTAACACTTGCATCATAAAAAACCCAAACAATAGTTTTGTCTTTAAGTATAAACTGATGAGCGATAAACAGGCTTTCTTTATATTCTTTAATCAGTGCCCCATCCATAACAATAACATTAGAATTTCGGACATATATACTGCCATCAGATGAATTATCAAGGAAATGGACGTTTTTGTAATACTATAAACCCTTCTTTAACTGATCAAGTAAACTTGGTCTGTTTGAAAATTTATAAGATCTTTCAATAATTATATTTTTAAGATATGATAGTTTTAAAGCATGCAAAAAGTGTGTACAGTACGTCCAAATATTACCCTTACAAGATCAAGGGAAAAGCTGATGTGACATTTACCAGCAAAAATGATTTCCTAAGAGAGAAACTAATTTTGAACTGTATGAAGAATTTTACCTCCTGATTTAGATCATTTATGGTATGCTAAATTTCATGGACCATAGACATTGAATCTTGTTAATCCACTGATGTTATGTAAGAAGATTGAACGTCAATGATCTTCATGGTGTCGAAGAAGTTCTTGATATAAACAGCATTGTGCAAATATCACCTGACCTGACCATAGTGATGTCAGGTGATTAAGTTCTTTTCTGCTCAGTGAAACACAAAGGTCAACAGAAAGGACCAACCTGTGATTTCGACATGATAGGAGTTTGCGATATAAATAGGTAGAGCTAGCCCTAAGCGAATTTTTCATTTCATTTCATACAAATACTGTAGAACTTATTTTGTATTCCTCACTGATAAAAATCTGCACTTTTCTTAAATTTTTGAAAGCAAGTTTTAAACTCCCTTTACAAAAAGCCTTGCATAGTATCAGCTATATTAAAAATTGATTGCATTATTAAAATTCACAGTCATGTGTATTTTTTTTCAATCATAAAAAATTAAAAAAAAAAATAGTTTGCAAAACAAAATTTGAAAAAAGTTAATGGTCAATGGAGGTTATACTGAAATGATTTTAAAAGGCCTAAGCCTTAATTGTTAGTCATGGATTCCAAACAGGTCTAATGTATTTCTTCTCTTATCTTTTCTTTAGTAATTGGGGCCATCTAGCATTTTTAGATAATGGGTCCTGCTTACAATGATCCAAATCGATATTTCCATTATTGTCATGTAAATAATTCTTAAACTATAAGGCTGTGGTCAATCAGATTGGCAAGTTTTCATGTTAAGAAGGTCCTCGAACATGGTTTACACTCTTGCTAGAGAGCAGGTTTGTGTCAAGCTGTAAATTATCTGTCATCAAATACTCCAATGTTTTCCAATAAAATGTTCAAATTGGAAGTTCCTTTACTCTACACAGCATCGAAAAAAAAAGAAAGGAAACAAGAAGACACACCAAACCAAAAATACAAACAAAAAGAGTTTTTAAATTGCAGAAGTTTGCCAAAGTAAGACCAAGAAATTTTGAATGTATGTGCATTTATTAACAATAATGAGTGTACAAGGTTTCTTGTAAATGAACATAATTCTCAATTATATTCACATGTACAAGCATGACTGTATATCTCTGAATGCAAAGTTATTACAACCAGGATATTCAACACACATCTGTATATCATCCAAAATCCAGTAAAAAAATGAGTTAAGAAAGACTCACACAACGGTCATAAAATATAAACACCTATGATGGTTCTAGTCAAGATGGGAACATTAATGTATCAGGTACTGATGTACTAGACACTCATTTGCCATATTTATTAGAATTCAAGCCAATTCTAATTTTAGAGCCCAGAACCACAAACCAACTTATTCTATGAAGAATAAATTTATCACAATTCAATTACATATATCAAACACTCTGGCACTTTGTAAAATACTGGATAGATCATATACACTAAATCTGACAGCACACTTTGGAGAACACATGGAATGCTGAGTGGGATGGGACCCAATGAGGCCGTGCTTTGACTTCTTTTGATAATACTGAATTACAGGATAAAATAATAATGAAACATGATTCGAGTCATACTATGACAACAGGATCTAAAACAAGGAATTTGCACTCTTTCCTTCTGTACCTATTTCTTTTGCTTGGAAAATTATGAACAATATGAGTCCCTAAGCCAGTCAACTTCAGAAATTAGATTAAAAATCTGCAAAATACAGACTGGTCGATAATGAAGGTATTTCAAAATACCAGATGAGCTCCACATAAATATCACATACAAAAACATAAGGGCTTGAATTCAAATAAATACAGTACTTTACAGTTCATTGAAATATCTTATCATAATAATGTTTACAAATATATTACAGTAATTTAACAGTATAATGAGTGTCCAAAGAGATGGCTCAATGTATTGAAATTCTCTGCCTCCTCTAAAAATCAAAGAAACAAAAAAAAGAAACATTTGATTCGGTCCAACAATTGTAAGGCAAGTACCAGTACACACCAAAAGATCCTTCTTCAGAAATTTCTATTGATAGAGCTAGACAGAGTTAGTTTGAACCACCTCCAAACAAACAGATAAAAGATGGAGGCAGGCTGTGAAGTATATTCTATATTGCCTTTTCCTTTATATTGTCCTTAATCACTATCTGATCCCACTGCATTCTTTTTCCTTTTCTTCGGCTGCTTTGCTTTTACTATTTCTTCCTCCTGAAAAATTAAGAACCACAAATTACAGATTTGTTCATTGTGCTTGTAGGATGTGAACTTAAGTTACAAATTACAACGGGGGTTGATAACATACCTCACTACTTTCTTCACTGGTAATTGGCTCTTTGTATGGTGGTCTGTTTCCTCTAGTATTGGTCTTCCCTCTACTTGTGGAACTGTTGTTTGCAGTCTTTTTTCCAGTCTTTGTTGACTTGCTCTCTACCTCTTCAGTCTCAGCCAAGGCAAATAGCTCACTGAACACTTTGCGTTGAGAGTCCGTACATGAACTCTGCACTTGCTGCAGAGCTTTTTGAACTGAATCAAGAGCATATAAGGGGTATGAATTGCCACTGTTTGCTCGAAGATGATCAAGGTGGCCCAATACTTGGTCAGGACTGAGTTGTGGGCCACTAGCTGCTGCTCCTCCTCCACCACCACGAGCACCACCTCTTTTCCGTTTGTTAGGTGATGTGTTGGGCTGTCGATTACTTAAAAGTCCAGCAACGAGCTCTCCAACTTTCTCTTCATGATTACGACACCAGTGTTTTAAAAGAGACACAACAAAAACATCCTTTGGGGCTTTGACTTCACGGGACATTACATTCCTCATCAGCTCTGCAGTTGGTCTGTAAAAGGTTGCACAAAAATAAAGATAATCAAATCGCAGCCAAAATTTCATTCTAGCCAAAAAGTAACATAGTTGTACTTACCTTTCCTCTTTCATCATTAGCATAACTGAAGATAAAGCTTCTGGATGTAGAGTGAAATCAAGCTTTGGCAACACGGGTAACAAAATATCAAGAGGAACTTCATGAGCTGTTGCCAATTGCCAAAGCCAACACTGTTCCACTGTTTCCCAACTCAGGGATGCCAGAAGAAGAGCAGCAAATTGATCATGTCGGAACATTTCCAATTCACCCTACAAACAAAAGATAATTTGGTCAGGTAAGGTTTTTTTTTCTCTTAACAACTTTTAGCAACTTTTTTATGCATTTCTTAGATTAAGACCTCACCTGGAGAACTAAATAAACAATATCTTGCAGTTGTTGGGCATCAATGGCTGCTACAATTATATGCAGCACTTCTGGATGCCCAACAACAATGTCAGGGTAAAGTCCATATACTTCTGGAACCAGCCAGCACAATGCAGTCACATCCTCTTCTTGGCATAGCTAGGGTATAGAAAACAATTAGATACTTCTATCAAAGAAAAAAAAAGGGGTTTCTAATATGTATCCTGAAGCTAATAATACTTACAGCTAAATCAAGTAACAAACATTCTTCCTCACTTTTTTTGCGAACACCACATAAGTCTTTATACAAGGCGGATTTTTTATCACTTGGTTTGCTAAAAACAAATGGAAAAATATTGTTGTAAGAAAAGTAACAAAGCTACCAATATAGATAAAAAATTTAAACAAATCTTACCAGGTTTTGAGGTAGAAAAGTATTAAGTAACCTATTCTGGGATATTTATTATACATCTCTAAAAGGATAGAAAATAATGGGTGCCTTCTTTTATCTTCTTTTTGAGAAAGTTGATAAAGCTGCTTTAAGAGTACAAAAAATGGTCTTGACACTCTCTCATCCACAGTTCTGTATACAATGCAAAGCATCAAATAAGTGACAGTTCTGACATTGTACCTTCAAATGAATTATTTAACAGAGAATACTCACTCTTGAGTTGATTCTTTGGGAAAAATTCTTCCTTCTAGTTGGTCTTTGAAAGAAACACACAAACACGACGCAAGAGCTGTATTAATTTCACTTCCTAGCTCACCCTCACTCACAATACACTGCACCAGCCTCTCCATAGCTTGACACCTGTTCATGAAAATAAAAATAAAAAAATAATTCAATAGTCCCAATGACATACTGTACAGCTAAGGGAAAAATATCATACTTTGTATCATTGTCAGCTTGGGACCGAAGTGTTTCTGCAGCACTTCTAAGTTCCCCTTCTAAGACAGGTTTAATATTGTTCTTTGCAGCTCCCCTTTTTCCTTTCTTAAGTTTGACCTTAGCTAGTGTCGAAAAAGAAACAATACAATTTCATTACTTAAACCCAAAATAGTTGTTTTCTAACATGGAAGAAACAGAAGCAGAATCTTACCAAGAGGTATATCTTCATCTTCATCATCATCCTGGCTGAGGCGCCGGAGTGTGCGAACTAAGCTGCCCGCAGCTGGTTCGCTTTCCTCCACTTCATTTTCAATATCGTTTTCTTCTGCCTCCTCATCATCACTGAAGGCTGGCTCACCTTCTGTGCTTCCATGATGATTATTATTATTTCCAGGATGACTCCCATCTAAGTCGCCAGGACTCCTGCCCTCAACCCGGCCACCAATTGAATCTGAAGTGACGAAAAAAAAAAAAAGGAGTTAAAATACTGCACATTCATGATAAGAGGAAACAATCACAATGTTCTACACGAAATACAAACCTTTGATTGTTGCAGGTGGAAAACAAAACTCTTTGAAGCATGACTTTAAGTTGTTCCTTAGTTCAAGATCTAGCTTGATATTATCAAACAGATGGTACAGTGTGGGTAGAACTCTTTTCTCAAGAATTAAGCGAAGAGATGCATTAATCCCTTGTCTTACTTTTTCGGTCAAAGGAGGGTAAAACCCAGGAATTATCTAAAAAAAAATTAAATTAAATCGAATTCAGAAAAAAATGGAAGGGTGTTGGCCAAGCAAATTTACAGGTAATAAGTGTGTTTTTTTTCTATTTCATATAAATTACAGATTGGTAAATTGTTATTGGGAAGACTTACCCTGCAAAGGAAATCGAGGAGAGTTGCAGTGATTAGGGGATGTGGTCGCAAGGAGTTGTGCATTACCAGAATTCCGGGTTCTGAAATAATGATTTGAGATTAGGTTCATCAATAAAAATGTGGAGTTAGTTTAAGATTCAATTAATTTGAATTCCTTACCGATATTCATAATGTTATCTCTTTCAGGGTCAAAGAAGAGCCAATCATACAAGAGAGCAAGCTTCCCGTTGCTAGATATGGTGGTTGATGTGCAAGTAGTAAGTAGCCATCCTATAACAGCCCACCTTGGCATCACTTCTGAACAAAGAATATCATTTGATGGGTGTATGACACAAACAATGAAGCGTATCAAATCACACCTTAGAGTTTGTGCTTCTTGAAGACTCAAATACTAGAAAGGGAAGAAATTGCACATGTATAACAGACCAGAACTTACATGAACATCAAGGAATTTAAATCCAACAGCTCATTAAGAAAGAGTAAAAGAGAAAAACAAACCTGTCTCTGGAACCAGTCCTGATATCGCTTATGGTGTCCAAATTTTACACTTAGAAGAAGAAAATTGATTTTGTTTTCCATGTCAGGAGTAAGGCGGCAACGTAGCATAGTTTTCCCAGTCCGTATTACCATCAGTTGGTGAATACCTAAGACATGATTTAAGATGAGTGTTTCTGACAAAGAATATAAAAATTGTACTTGACCAAGAGCACAGTGTGTAACCCATTTTCAGCATACCAGTAAATGTCTGACATAATGACTTAGGATTGTTTAAAATGTCTCTCCATAGCTGTTCAATCTGTGGTATTCTAGCTACAGTTTGCAAGAGCCTAACAAAGTCACGGCCAATGAACATACACTCAGCAAAGCGCTCTCTTATAAGTGAGACAACAAAAGTAACCTCTCTTTGCTTGAGTGCTGCAAGTGATGGATGATTATGGTCTTCAAGAAGTCTCAAAAATGTGAAGACTGCAGCTCGTAGCTGATCAGGGTGTTTGTCCAGCCAGCCCCTGAAAATATAAAAAAAGGAAACTTAGAAAGTGAAGAGCAATTCTATATTTTTTTCACATGATGAAAATGATAAAATCTTTCGAGGTGAGTAGAAAATTAATTTACCTATTGTTTTCAAAAGTTAAAAGCACTTGATCAATGTGATTGATGTTCCTTGGTGAAAGATCACCACCAGCACACAGACGAAGCATAGTAAAGCATAAACTGTCCACGTTCGCAACGCCTGTCCTGATTAATTCTCCAAAGAGCCATATTGCTTGAGTTCGCACTATATCTTGTAGGCGAAGATAACATTCATGCATAATACGATTCAAATGGACTAAAACAACTCCGAAGCCATCACGTTGTATCAACATTAGGTCCCGGAAGCTCTGAAAGGCATTTAAAAAAAATTAATGAAAGAAATAACATTTTATAAATTTGTTACAGTTTAATTAAACAGGTTTAGTCAAATACTCACCTTAGTAGCAAGATGTGGTGGATCGATGAGGATGCTAACAAGCAAACCGAGGGAAACTTGGTCATGGCCATTATTTGACACTGCCTTATTGAGAACATCATTGCTTTCTTTTTCAGACAGACCAGCAATAAGGTTTTGGACATGTTTATAGGCACGATCACACTTCTGCAATAGAAGAAACTTATACTGTAACTTTTTTGATAAATAAAACAGGTGCTTAGTGTGAGATTTGTCTATGATGATTAGATTGTCTTATTCGTTCATGATCAATTTTTGGCAGGGTTTATCTCCCTTAGCATTTGGTCATCGTTCTGTGGAGGACACCAGCGAAGAAGCCATAACCTTACTTATGACATCTGACTCATGTGTATTTTTAAAAAAGGCAAAAACCTAGATATTTTTATTTAAAGGAATAAAGTGGTGTTTGGCTACACTTCTCATTAGTTTAAATTTACAGAAACTAACATTTCTGATACACTAGTATTGGGTATTGGAGCATAGTAAAATGATATTGAAAACAATAGTAAACTAAATCCACCGAGAGTCATGTTCTAAAATTTTTCAGCTGGGGAAGAAAGGTACTAAGATATAAAATACTTCACAATAACAGAGACATATCAAATTGAGAATTAAAGATTTTCCAGTGCAATATATAAAAAAAATATGACACCTAAGAAAAAAATAAATGTCACACAAATTTTTGACACCAGTGGAGCAGTTAAAGCTTACTGTTCACTAATGCTGATAGGAACATTATATGGCAAAAATACGAAGAACAGTGTTAGAATCAGCAAAAGAAAATTTCATTTTAAGTGGTAAGTCAGTAGGGATTAAAGGAAAAAAAATGAGAGAAAAAAATGATTCAGACAATAAAATAAATCTAGTGATTAAAGGCTAACTAATTTAAAGGCTTGTTCAAAATCAACTGTTTACAGATATGTGGGCGACCCTATAAAATTAAATTTTAATAAACTCACTAAATCAAATTTTAAATTTCCCTCTTCAACGAAGAGTAACGCCCTCTGCAGACGGCACACAGAAACTACACAAGCAATTTTGTAATGGCCGCCCACAAAATATCACCTACCACAAGTACAAACAAATAAATTACCTCGTCGAATTCATCCTTATTTTCCAATGGATTACATTTAAGAAGTCGGGGAGTATAGCCTTTATCCACCTCCATGCCGTTTAAAACAAATAACGCGCTCGAATAGGTCTAAAATAGAAAAATAGTGTGGCCCTGCATCCTGAGTGTTTGTCTTGCCCTCAAGAAATGCTTTCTGTGGAGCGCGTAGGAATACACCACACGCTACGAGCGAGCGCGATGCGAGACGAGCGAGATCAAGTGCCTATGTGTGCGTGAAGAACGTAGTTCGACAGCATTGCCTTAAACGGCGATTGGCACAAAATTTAAAGAACTACACTAGACCTTTCTAGAAATTAGATTCTTTTTTAAGCCACTGAAATATTCCAAAACTTCTATGGGGCCGTAATAATGTCGTCAGTAATCGAAAAGTTTCTTGACCGGTACCCCTGAAAAATAAATAAAAACGACACTTTTACAAAATTTATATTGAAAGATCGATTAAGATGTATGCAAAATAATGATTCCAGAGCCTAATACCGTTCAATACAGCCTATGTCAATACTGATCTTATTTTTGAGCCTGGTGGTAACGGTGGGGGGCAACGTGGTAGTGTGCGGGACTCGACGACATCCCCCCGACCCCGACCCCCGCCGACGTCGCTCGTCGCTGTCGGTCAAACGCTAGTGCCCCTGTCTGTCTGTCTGTCTTACACGTGTACCGCACCGAGAGGTTCGTGCTTAAGCCTTCAATATTTCGGCGATTACTATTTTGTTTCGAAATGACAGCCCATTCTTGATTTAATTCATATATTTTAGCTTCAGTTCGTTTTACCGGTTCCTTAAATCAAACGTTACCGGTGTTGTAGGTTATCCTCCTGCCCTAATACATTGAACAGATGTTGACACCCTATTCCACGTCTATCCTTCTTTTCCTTTAAATACTTTCCACGTCAAAATAGACTCTTATTTATTATTCGCCTTTGTTTGGCCTTGTTACGTTTTAAATGAACCGGCAATTTTGTCATTTTCAGGTGTCACTGAAACTTTGTGGAGATGCCTGATGATTTAAAGATGGGTGACTTAAAAATTGGTATGTTACATCATGTTTTCTTCAAATTTACTTTTGACCGAAATGTACTGATGAAAGAGCGTAGCCATCTATTCATACGTCTGTTCTTATCTTCCAGGTGAAATCTACACCTCTGAGAAAAATGGAAGTGATGAAAATGGTGATGGAACTCAAACAAAGCCTTTCAAGACAATTCTTCAAGCAATGCGACATGCTGGCAAAGAACCATTCCCTGTGATTTATGTAGATGGAAAAGAGGATGGAGTGGTACGTACAAATTCTCGTTTGTTGACAGTGTTAAAAGCGGAGAAGGAGCATTATCAATACATTGACACAAGACATAATATAAATGTCCAGACAAGGTTGTGTCCTCCTTTTTCTCCTCATCTGAAGTATTTTAAGTAAATTCAAGCTTCATGATTGTATATATGTTTTCAGAATTAATTCTTTCTTACAGAAATATGAACCAGCTGCTAAATCTCAGCTTAAGAAAATTACTAAACTCTTTGTTCGTGAACAACACAAGAATGAATCAAAATCCCAGAGAGAGGATGAAGATGCTAAGAAGAGGGAGCAGAATTTGGAGGAGGCAAAGAAAATTGTTTTCGAAGAGGACAAGTCACTTCCAGCTGCTGAACGTGTTAAAATCTTCAAAACAGAAAATTATCGCAACAAGAGAGTTAAAATTTATGGATGGGTACACCGCTTGCGTCGCCAAGGTATCTTTCAATGACTGAATTTAATCTAATCTTAATTGCTAAGGTATTTAATGAGTTATCACTCAAATATACCATTTTGTTCTTCCATGTCATCAGGGAAGTCCTTAATGTTCATCACGCTACGAGATGGCACTGGCTTCTTACAGTGTGTTCTCAATGACCGTCTCTGCCAAACTTATGATGCCCTTGTTCTTTCAACTGAATCAGCCGTCGAGTTATTTGGAACCTTAAAAGAAGTTCCTGAAGGAAAGACTGTACGTCACCTTAATTTTAGGACATTATTTAGTTGTGTTTAGTTCTTTGTAATTTTATACTAGAGTGGTCCATGATTGAATTTTGTTTTATTTTGTCAGGCTCCTGGTGGACATGAACTTATGGTAGATTACTATAGAATCATTGGTCTTGCGCCAGCTGGCGGGGCTGATAACTTGTTGAATGAAGATGCTAATCCAGATGTGCAACTAGATAACAGACACATGATGATTCGAGGAGAAAATGTAAGTAGACACTTCTCTATTAAAACCTTTAGTGAAATTGCTTCCAATATCACTAACTTATTTTCACAATTTTTTCCACCCCAGACTGCAAAGGTTTTAAGAATGCGTTCTGTAGTACTCCAGGCATTCCGGGATCACTATGCAAGCAGAGGGTATTGTGAGGTCACTCCACCAACTTTAGTTCAGACCCAAGTGGAGGGAGGTGGCACTTTGTTTAAGTTTGATTTCTTCGGGTAAGAATGATTTTCCTTCTATGGTCTTGTGGCCATTTTCATTCTGTTCAAATCCACTTCCCCATGACATTGACACTGCATTTTTGCCATGCAAATAATTATAATCTTCTCTCATCCTAGGGAAGAAGCTTTCTTGTCACAGAGCTCACAGCTCTACCTTGAAACATGTATTCCGGCTTTGGGTGATGTCTTCAGTTTTGCTCAAAGTTACCGCGCTGAACAAAGCAGAACACGTCGACATTTAGCTGAGTTAGTATTATTTTCTAAACACCATATTATTGCTCTTAAAATTTGAATGACTAAGTTTCTTATCCTTAACAGGTATACTCATGTTGAAGCAGAATGTCCTTTTATTACTTTTGATGAACTGCTTGATCGTTTGGAAGATATGGTGTGTGATGTTGTGGATAGAGTTTTAAATTCTCCTTTGGGTCATTTGGTCTATGAATTGAACCCTGGATTCAAAAAACCCGAAAAACCATTCATGAGGATGAACTACAGTGATGCCATTAAATGGCTGAAAGAAAACAATGTTACCAAAGATGATGGCTCATTTTACGAATTTGGAGAGGTAATGTATTTTTATTTATTTCATAGTACCACTTTGTATATCATTTTACTGAATGTATAGTCAACTTTAATTTTTGTAAGAATCAAACATCTATTTATGTCAAATATTTAATAACAGGATATCCCAGAGATGCCTGAAAGAAAAATGACAGATGCTATCAACAAACCAATCATGCTGTGCCGTTTCCCTGCTGAAATTAAGTCATTTTACATGGCCAAGTGCCCTGAGGATAAGAGGCTCACAGAATCGGTTAGTATCATTCCTAATTATTTGAAAACTTAGTAATTTTAAGTTGTTAAGTTTGTAATTTTGATTTTTGATCTTTAGGTTGATGTTTTACTTCCCAATGTTGGTGAAATTGTTGGTGGATCCATGCGTTCTTGGGATTATGAGGAGTTGATGGATGGTTACAAGAGAGAAGAAATTGACCCCAAACCTTACTACTGGTACACTGATCAGGTTGGTTACATTTGGATTAATCAATTCTTAATTACCAGCATCAACTTCTCCTTCATACCTTACCTTAATTTTTTTATTTGCAGAGAGTTTATGGCACTTGCCCCCATGGAGGATATGGACTTGGCCTGGAACGATTTCTGTGTTGGCTCTTGAACCGTTACCACATCAGAGAAGTATGTTTGTACCCCAGGTTCCTTGAGCGTTGTAGGCCTTAGACAATCTTGTTATTTCTGCTAACTTATGAATTTCTGTTAGACGCTGTTGTAACCAAGTTTTTGATTGAGCCATTTTATGACGGCTTTTTGTTCCTTTTTTGCTCACATGTTTGCATTTTCAGATATTTGATTGTAAATTAGTGTCCTTATTCTTAACTTGCTGTTTTGTACATCTCTGCTTTTGTGATACAGATCAAATCATTAAATTAATTGTCTCCACTAACTGTCAGTTGTATGTACTGCCCCAATTTTTGCCATACTCGCCTTGTTGGTTACCCACGCTCATCTGCGAACGACTAGGAAGGGACGCCAAAGAGTGCTCTGGGTTGCATTCACTACGACCCTCGTCTGTTCTCTGCCATTAGTTTCTACACCCCAGCTATACGGCTACCTGGGTACTTGGGTGGCCCGGCCGGTGCGCTGCGCGTCTAGGTACTCAGGCGCCGGGCTCCGACGACGCCCCGCCCCCACCGTGCCGCCGATCATACCGACACAGACAGACGCAGCCACCGCTGGCGCTGCGCGGGCGCGCGCTGGCGCATGTGGCGGGGAGGGGGACAGGATGATGATGATAGCCCGCCCCGCGCCCCACCACTCCACTACCCGGCAGAAGAACGGGCAACTGTGGCGTGGCCATGCGCGGCCGGCGGCCGTGCCCTGCCTGCGCTTGTCTTGGGCTTGCCAGTGTCAGTGTGCAGGCCGGCCTCCCGACAGAGAGCCACGCAGTGCTTGCAGCCGGCAGAGTCAATAGCGGTTAATCAGTTTGGAGTCCAGAGTACACATCTCGTCTCGTCGCGCCGCGGCCGCTCCGAGGTGGTGTTTTTTGGGGACCCGCGGTTGGTCCAGTCCGGTTGCGCGCGGCACGCGTGTGCGCGAGCGCCACCCGCCCCACCGCGCCTCCGCCACTCCGCGCCGCGTCAGGTAACTAAACTACCCCAGCGCCAGGTCAAGGACCTCCAACCGACCGGCGGGGAAAACCCACGTAACTCGAGTGATCGGTGTGGGCGTACCTTAGCAGCACCAGCCTCAGCAGATCGTCAAAGTGTCAGCGGGACGGGAGGCCGAGTGCTCTGTGTTTGTGTTCCCGGTGGCCGGTTGCCCAGGAACGATTGCCGTCATTATTGAGCCTTACGTTCTCGTCCGCGACAGGCCCCGCGCGGGCGCCGCATGTCGGACGGACCAGACCAGACCGGACACGACGGAGTCGCATAGCAGCGTTCGATATCTAAAGAGAAGACGCCGCTGGGGTCAGCGCGATTGTGTTGTGGGCGATCCGAGAGCTTTAGGGACCAGTCGGTGAAATGGGGCCGAGAAGCATAGTATGAATGAAACGTGCAAAAATTGAAAGGGACGACGACTTTGCGCCAGTTTAAAATGGAATTTTATAGTGTCGGCATACATTGTACTTTAGTGTGTCCCCCTGAGAAAATCCTCATTAATAGTCGCATGCTTAAAATCAGTAAACACTTCTGCCTGTGACTGAGGCGATTGAGGCAACACGTCTCCTCCTGTAGGAGGCTGTGTGCCAGACAGACCGCGGGGCACCAGCCTCCTCCACCCCCGCCC